ATCAGATTTTTCCATTTCTATCTCCACTACTCGTTCTGCGAGGCTCGCATAATGCGTAAAGCATGACGCATAATATGTCGAAAAATTCGTAAGGATGAATTTTTATGCTGTGTAGACCATGGTCGACCATGATATAGACGTTGAGTGACGTTGAGGAAGAAGAAGAAGAAGAAGACGTACAATACACATACTGACATACATACTGGCGAGGACAGTGATTCTTTGTATAATAATTGAAAAATATTTCGGTGTTGCATTGCAAAAGGAGATATTTAATTTGCGGACGCAGACATTTTACCAAGATTGATTGATTTGCAAAAGGAGATCGTCGAGTGCGGATTTGTAATTTTTGAAAATTCTGACAAAAGTAATTCTCTTTTTTTCTTCACTTTTAATAAGTATTTTAACAAATATTAATCGGACTATTGGTTATTATTGGCCGAATTAAACTTGAATTGAGAATTTGGCGAGGACAGTCTATTGCAGTCTATTGCCTTTTAACCTCAAAAAAGTTAGAAAATGGATCATACTTCTTATTATATGATTAATTACGACGAGGATGATAACGAATTCAATAACGAAGTTATTGATACTAAAAATGTGGTAGATGAAATAACCTTCATAAATGATGATTATTTGGATGGAGATGCAATCCTTATCTCGTTAGTACAGAGTCATCCATACTTATACAACAAAGAATTAACTGATTTTAAAGATAGTTTAAAGAAGGAAAATGCTTGGACAGAGATAGCCAAGATTTTGAACATGAAAGGTATATCTATCATAATATATCTCTATTTAATTTTTGATAATTCACAAATTAATTAGTTTAACTTGAGAATTTGATTAATTTGAATAAGTGAAATTTTATTCAAATTAGTGATTTTTTTTTTTAAATTTAAATTGTAATAAGGCTCAATAAATTTAAAACTAATGAGAGAATAGGGCTACGAGCCATAGATTCATTAAAATCTTTAATCTTATTTATTCTAATATATTGCGAAGAATATCACGTAATGTTGACGTTTCGTCCTGGCTTCCACTACTGGACTCATTAGTAAGGTATTGTAATGGAAGCCTACCTTAGACGCCTGTTTTAGTTATTAAATCGAGATTCTATATATACAGATATACGCGTATCAAAGCACTTGCGAGAATCTTAGCGAATATCTATAGACCTCTGATGGCGGGTCGACGTAGTAATATTCTTCGCAATATATTATTCAAAGTAATATATGTATATGTATTCCCTTCCC